AACTTTGAAAGGGGTCAAAGTTCAAACTTCTTGGGTCGTTTTTCGGAATAACTTTTAATATCCAATATCATGAACCATAATGTTTTTCGATAAGTCTTACGGTTTCAAAAGTTCGGCAGAAATAGAATAATAATAATAACTAGGAGACTTATTGTTCACAGAACAATAAGAGGTCTTTCCACCTTCTTTGAATTTCAAATTTGTTTTATATCTGACTCCTAAAATTTAAATTCCATGAAAAAGAAACCAAAACTCTCTAAAAGCATAGAAAAAATGTAAATAAAAAAATGAATGACCTTGACCTTTGACCTTGACAAAATATTCAAGGTCAAAGGTCAAGGGTCACAATGCAATTGACCCTATGCTTCTACCACTTATAGTTTTCAAGTTATAAGGTTTAATAGTAAGTACAAAGAAGTTAAAGGGCAATAACTCATATAAGGGGTCATCAGATCCTTTTGCACTTATACAGTGAACTTTAGCCTAAAGACCCTGAAGACACTAGTAAAGGTTTGATGTCTCTACGGTCTACAGATTCGGAGGAGTAGCGATAACAAGGTTTTTTGCACAAGGGGCAATAACTTTTAAAGAAGTTAATCTTAGGGGACAAGAATGAAATCTTTGAAACAGTTTTAAAAGCACATATTAATGATGCATAGACATTAAATGTATGTTAAAAGACAAAAGAGATATAAAAAGAGCTTAATTTCTCAGTTTTGGAATGACCTTGACCTTTGACCTTTCCATAAATTTCAAGACCAAAGGTCAATAAATCTTATGCAGTTGGTCCCATGTCTCTACGTTTTCTCGTTTTGAAAATTTTTAATTATTTGTAAAATTCAAAAACTTCCAGGGACAATAACTCATTGAAGGGGTCAATGAATACTTTCACAATGAATCTATGAAGTGTCTACTAAATTAGTCGAAGACATTAGTGAAGGTTTCATTTCTCTACGGTTTATGGTTTCGGAGGAGTAGCGATAACAATCTTTTTTGCGAAAGGGGTAATAACTCCGAAAGGGGTCATAGTTCATATACACAGGGTGAACTGGTAAAATCTTTAACGGAGTACATTCTTATGAACTTAAAATCTTTTCGATAAATCTTGAAACTCAAAATCACACGGCGGAAAAATAATAAAAAATAACTAGGAGACTTATTGTTCACAGAACAATAAGAGGTCTTTCCACCTTCTTTGAATTTCAATTTTTTTTTTTAATATAACTCCTTAAATATCATTTTTAAAAAAATGGCTTAAAAGATACAAAAATGTAGGAAAAAATTCGAATTTTTAAAATTTGAAATGACGTTGACCTTTGACCTTGACTAAATGTTTCAGGTCGAAAGTCAAGAGTCACATTGCAATTGACCCCATGACTCTAAAAAATTTAGTTCTAAAGTTATAAGGTTTAATAGTAAGTACAAAGAACTAAAAGGTCAATAACTCATAAAAGGGGTCATCGGACCCTTTCGCACTTATACATTGAAGTTAGGCCTAAACACCCTTAAGACATTAGTGAAGGTTTGATGTCTCTACGGTCTAAAGTTTCAGAGGAGTAGAGATAACAAGGTTTTTAGCACAAGGGGCAGTAACTTTTAAAACGGTTAATGTTAAGGGACAAGAATGAAATCTTTGAAACAGTTTTAAGAGTACATGTTAATGATGAATAGATATTATGTATATGTTGAAAGGCAAAAGAGATATAAAAAAAGCTAAATTTCTCATTTTTGGAATGACCTTGACCTTTGAACTTTACTTGACTTTTAAGGTCAAAGGTCAATGAATCTTATGCAGTTGGTCCCATGTCTCTACGACTTTTTGTTTTGAAAATTTTTAATTATTTGTAAAATTCAAAAAGTTTCAGGGGCAATAACTCATTGAAGGGATCACCGAATACTTTCGCAATGAATCATTGAAATGTCTTCTAAATTAGTCAAAGACAATAGTGAAGGTTTCATTTCTCTACGGTTTACGGTTTTGGAGGAGTAGCGATAACAAGCTTTTTTGCGAAAGGGGTAATAACTCCGAAAGGGATCAAAGATCATTTACGCAGGGTCAACTGCAAAAATCTTTTACAAAGTGCATTCTTATGAAATAAAAATCTTTTCGATAAATCTTGAAACAAAAAATCACACGGCGGAAAAATAATAAAAAACTAGGAGACTTATTGTTCACAGAACAATAAGAGGTCTTTCCACCTTCTTTAAATTTCAAATTTGTTTTATATCTGACTCCTAAAAATTATATTCCATGAAAAAGAAACCAAAATTGTCTGAAAGCATAGAAAAAATGAAAATTTAAAAAAAAATGGAATGACCTTGATCTTTGACCTTGACAAATATTCAAGGTCAAAGGTTAAGGGTCACAATGCAGTTGCCCCCATGCTTCTATGACTTATAGTTTTCAAGTTATAAGGTTTAATAGTAAGTACAAAGAACTTAAAGGGCAATAACTCATATAAGTGGTCATCAGATCCTTTGCATTTATACAGTGAAGTTAGGCCTAAAGACCCTTAACACATTAGTGAAGGTTTGGTGTCTCTACATTCTACGGTTTCCGAGGAGTAGCGATAACAAGGTTTTTCGCACAATGGGCAATTACTTTTAAAAGGGTTAATATTAGGGGACAAGACTGAAATCTTTGAAACAATTTTAAGAGTACATATTAATGATGCATAGACATTAAGTATATGTTAGAAGACAAAAGAGATATAAAAAGAGCTAAAGTTTCCATTTTTGGAATGACCTTGACCTATGATTTTTACATGAATTTGAAGGTCAAAGGTCAATGAATCTTATGCAGTTGGTCCCATGTCTCTACGACCTGTCGTTTTGAAAATTTTTAATTATTTGTAATTTTCAAAAAGTTTCAGGGGCAATAACTCATTGAAGGGGTTATCAAATGCTATCGCAATGAATAGATTGAAGATTCCCCATAATTAGGCAAAACCATTGGTGAAGGTTTCATACCTTTACGGTTTACGGTTTCAGAGGAGTAGCGATAACAAGGATTTTTAGCACAAGGGGCAATAACTTTTAAAAGGTTTAATCTTAGGGGACAAGAATGAAATCTTTGAAACAGTTTTAAGAGTACATTTTAATGATGCATAGACATTAAGTATATGTTGAAAGACAAAAGAGATACAAAAAGAGCTAATTTTCTCATTTTTGGAATGACCTTGACCTTTGACTTTTACAAGAATTATAAGGTCAAAGGTCAATGAATCTTTTGCAGTTGGTCCCATGTCTCTACGACTTCTCGTTTTGAAAAGTTTTAATTATTTGTAAAATTCAAAAAGTTTCAGGGGCAATAACTCATTGAAGGGGTCAGCAAATGCTTTCGCAATGAATAGATTGAAGAGTCCCCTTAATTAGTTGAAGACATTGGTGAAGGTTTCATACCTCTGTGGTTTACGGTTTCTGAGGAGTAGCGATAACAAGCATTTCTTGCGAAAGGGGTCGTAACTCCGAAAGGGATCAAGGTTCATTTACGCAGGGTGAACTGCAATAATCTTTTACGAAGAAAATTCTTATGGACTATAAATCTTTTCGATATATCTTGAAACTCAAAATCACACGGCGGAAAAATAATAATAATGGAAAAGAAGAAACAGAAGGAAATCAATAGGTCTTTCCACAGAAAGGTGGAAAGACCTAATAAGAAAAAGGAAAAAAAGAAACAGAAGGAAATCAATAGGTCTTTCCACAGAAAGGTGGAAAGACCTAAAAAGGAAAAAAAGAAACAGAAGGCAATCAATAGGTCTTTCCACAGAAAGGTGGAAAGACCTAATAAACATAAGCATTTCAAGAGGTCTTTCCACAGAAAGGTGGAAAGACCTAACTAGGAGACTTATTGTTCACAGAACAATAAGAGGTCTTTCCACCTTCTTGAATTTCAAATTTGTTTTATATCTGTCTCCTTGAAATCAAATTCCATGAAAAAGAAACCAAAATTGTCTTAACCCCTTCACTTCCGTATCGGTCAAATTGACCGGTGGCGCGTTAAAACACGACTTCGCGAAAATAAGATATCCGTATCTATTTTATGGTAGCATGAAGGTATATAAACTATATATCATCTTTTTGGAAATTTTCTCTACTTTTTAAATATCTTAAAAGATTATATCTTGATTGCCGGTATTTAATCGATTTTACGTTGTAAAGACAAACGAGACTTTTTGAAAATTGTGTAATTTTCCAAAGCGATTGCCGATTTTCCAGACGATTGACAATTTTTTTCCTGATTAACTTTATAAGAAAGCATGGTATATTCTTAAAGCATATTTTCTCTACTTTTAAAATATGTAAAAATTATTGTTATTACTTTTAGGTATATTTTAAAAACAAGACTTTTCTTGCACTTATGTGTTTTTTCTCGATTTTATTCATAATATTTAAAGAAAGCTCAGTTTTACATTTATTTCTGTGTTGAAATAGGGAAAACAAAATAAAGCTGGTAAAAGTAGAGAAAATTTCCTTTCCAACAAGCCCTTATAGGCCTTCTTACGCTCAGTATTTTCTTAATTACGATAATTTGAATTTGTGACCTTCGCATAGTTTTTATGGAAAAATCGGTCAATATTTACATGTAACGTCAAGGTCGATATTGTTGCGTCTTACTCGAAACAACACATTCTTTTATAAGACTTTTTGACCATTTAAATGTATTTTTTACTGAAATAAATGCATGATACCAAAAAAAAAAAAATAGATTTCAAAAAACAAATATACTTTCGTTCTACCTTTTGTGAAGTGAATGTTGATTTATTCATCTACATGTAATGATGTATATTTCTTGAAGTGATATACAATATTGATAAAAATTGTAGATTTCCAAAACGTCGATCTTTACCGAAAAAAATCAATCAGATTTTTAATATTGTTGTATCTTGTTATACTGTATACTTAATCATTTGCAATTTAATTAGATCTATATTTAACAATACAAAAACTCGCATTTATAAATAAATACGACTCATCACTGTATGAGTTGATACGAATTGAAATAAGCACGTGTTTCCGCTGTGGTAGATGTAAACAAAAACATGATCCGAAATCTGAACGTCAATTTTCATGATTATTTCACGACGAAGATCCTCACATCAATGAATCAAATAATACGGACATGCGTTTGGTATTAGCAGGTAAGAATACGTGTATATTGACTGAAAAGTTTAAGTTTAAAACGCATTAGTTCACGTTCAAAAGAAAACTAAATGTACACATGTACTAGATCTTTATGTTGCAGTGTGCGTATTTCGTATCGTTCAGCCAATTTTGCATTGCTTTTGAACTTTGATGCTTTTGACAATCACTCGTAAGTTCAAAGTAAAATCAAAGTTGTCATAAAAATGGATAGTTGTTTTCAGTATGTATGTACCAGTGTGTACATGTACCACTTTCACATTGAATTTTTAGGGTGCTTTCACCACATACAACAATACTTTCATCTGTGAATACCCACTTTCTAAGCCCACCATGAACTACGAAGGTCAATTAATATGTAAGGACACCAATGAACAGGTAAATTTTTGTTTTGGTATTGAAAATTTCTGTATTTCTAAAATTTCAAAACATAAAGTCTAATTTCATTTGTGTCATTCTCATGATATTGCATTCATAAAAGTTTATAAACATTTGATTTATATTTTGAAAAATAAGTGTTTGAAACACATAATACTTACGATGCTTGATTATTCATACAGACACATAATTTAACCATGTATTATCTATCTGAATGAATGCAGAGATATGGAACAAGCTGTTTTATAGACTGCTGTTGTATTTCCAATCTGCATAAAGTATGTGGTTAGAATTTTAATTTTCTCAATTTTTCAGACACTTTCCAATTATGGTACATCATATACATGGGTGGTCAAACTCACTGGATGGTTTATCAACACTCCCATGCTCACGAACAGCCTTGCCCCAGGAATTTTGCCCTGAAGTAACATTACAGTCTATTGTCTCCTTTCTTTTTACAACCCTGGCAGCCATGCAGGTATGTACGAAAGTCATGAAGGGACACGCCAATTTCTCAAAAAAGTAAAAACTAATTTGAGATCTCGAATTAAACAATCCATTCCCACGGATTATCAATTCGTTCCCACAATTTATAATTCGAGATCTAGAAATACACAATCCATTCCCACGGATTACCAATTCGTTCCCTCGATTTATAATTTGAGATCTCGAAATACACAATCCGTTCCCACAGACTACCAATTCGTTCTCACATATTATCAATTCGTTCCCTCAAATTACACAATCCGTTATCTCGGATTGTAATTCATTCTCTCAATTTAAACAATTCGTTCCTTTGGAATGAAAATCGATCCCACGATTTAATTATTATTTATCTGCACATATCGGATATGACAACACGTGTTTAATGAATAGAGAATGAAGTAGTTTATATCCTACTTTTCATTACATATTCTGTTAAAAATGAGAAAATACTTTTTTTCAAATCCATATGCTAGTACAGATATTTGTACAAAACAAGTCTTAGACTTCTATGTTACATGTATATTAGAATCATTAAAAACCCTAGTAAAAGTTAACATGGGTCCTGTTTAATTATTTTTTTCTAAAATAAATATACATTGACTAAATTATAAAAAAAAAGTTTGGAACGACCGGTTGCTGAAACAAATTACATGGAACGCATTATGGATTGGATTTTCCAAGCCTTTATACATGTACTCGGCTATATGTATATGCTATGTAGGTATGAAATTCGAGAAAACGGTTTGCCAAAATCATTAGACTGATATGTTGATCAGTGGGATCGGATTGTGTTATTCGAGATATCAAGTTACAAATAGAGATCTCGAATTATTAATCTGTGAAAGCGAATTATGTAATTCGAGATCTCGAATTATAAATCGTGGGAACGAATCAGTTATTTGTGACGACGAAATATGTAATTCGAGATCACGAATTATAAATCGGGGGAACGAATTGATAATCTGCGGGAACGGATTGTGTAATTCGAGATCTCAAATTAGATTTCACTTTTTTGAGAAATCGATGTGTCCCTTCAGGGCTTTCGTAGGTATGAAATCTATGAAAGCCATGAAGGGACATAGAATTTTTAAAATTTATAAAAGTAAACCGAGTTCTTGATTTATATAATCCGTTCTCTCGGATTGACAATCTGTTTTAACAAATTGCCAATTCATTCTCACAGATTATCAATTCGTTCCCTCAAATTACACAATCCGTTATCTCAGATTGTATAATTCATTCTCTTAGTTTAAATGATTCATTCCCTCGGAATGTAAATCCTTCCCATGGTTTTGTTTAAATTATTTATCTGTACATATCGGATATGGTAATACATGTTTAAAAAATAGAATATAGTAGTATTTTACATCCTAACTTTTATTACATATTACAGTCCAAAATGAGAAAAATAAATGAAAATTTCCAAATCCATGTGCTAGTACTGATATTTGTACAACAAAAAATCTTAGAGGTTTTTGTGTTACTTGTATATTAGAATAATTGAAAGTCCTAGTTGTAAAAGTGAATATGGGTCCTGTGTAATCATAATATTTCTAAAATAGATATACATTGAATTAGTTATGAGAGAGGTTGGAAACGACCAGTTGCAGAAACAAAATAAATAGAACGCACTTATTGATTAAAATGGTTGGATGTATCTGTACATATATGTAATGAAATTCAAGAGCACAGATTTCCAAAATCATAAGACTGACGTTGTAACAAATCGAGATGTCGAGTTATCAATCTGTGAAAACAAATTACCAGTATGTAATTCGAGATCTCAAATTATGAATCAAGGGGGCAAATTAGTAATCCTTACGATCGGATAGTGTAATTCGAGATCTCATATTATAAATCGAGGGAACAATTTAGTAATCCGTGGGATTGGATTGTCTAATTCGATTTGATATCATTTTTTACTTTTTTGAAAAATTTATGTGTCCCTTCCCGGCTTTCGTAGCAATGTAATGCCAGATTTTTTTAACATGTTGCGATAGCGTAAACAGAGGTCTGGCTTTAGTCAGATTGCCATATATGCTATTTGTTTTAGTTCAGTAATTTTACCATGATGGTTTACTACAAGGTTGTTGAATTATCCGTCCTGATACATTGACTTAACAATATCATTTAACTACTTGGATCACATAATAAATACAATTTTAATTTTAAAAGGAAAATCAAATAAATGTAGTAATTTTAGAATTCTTAATTTAATTTATAAATGTAAATTCATATACACAATGACATGTATCAGTTTCAAAATACTTAAATCTTTTACAGGATAGAAGCTGATCACTTGTACTTGACAGCAAATAATAATGTCTTGGACTAGTCAAAGAATTTCCTCCAGTCTTACAGAGAAATGACAGTTGATAAAAGAATGGTGGACACAAAGTAAAAGTGCTCTTCAAAATTTTGTTGAAGATTTCAGTCTGATTTGGAATTCATCTTGCAATATTTCTGGATTTATATATTTGGATATAAGTGTCAAATTTTCAACTTATTGACTAAACAGTTTTGCGTTAAGGTAAGACGACACGTTCCTCATATATATGTTTTGTATCTCTTTGTATTTTATGAAATATTATTCATATTTGTCATTCTCTTTTGGTTTCTACATTGTTTTCAAAATGTTTTTGAAGTTAAGAACACCAAATATTGTGATGTAGGCCATTTAGAAGTTTACCCATAAGGGTTATATAAGAAATATGACCCTATGGTAACTTGTCCAAATGCCTGGTAAGGTACCCTAATTTTTTGTGAGGAAACTTATTTAAGTACCAATACTTCAATGACAGATTCTTAGGAAAAATTATATATTTTTGAGGAACGTGTCGTCTGACCTTAAATATTGCCAATGCTATCTATTATTATTATTTCCCTCCAAGATAACATGTCAAGTCTTTATTGTATCCCTTAAGCTCTGTTATACCAGAAAAATATTGTATTGAAATCATTTAGTTTTTTTCTTGTTAGATTAAATCCATGAAAATAAAGATTATTTTTAATGGCATCAAGTGAATGGATTTCTTGTTTAACAAAAAGATAGTATACATGTTTTGCTAGGGCTTTGTAAGAAGCAGACCAGAATTCTTTGCTTGCAAATTTTGTCGTTCGCCATTTTTATTACGTCAACTATTAGATGATTTATCCATGTTTGAAGCATTTCAAAATTGATATTTACTTACAGTTTAAAGCAGAATTCTGTACTGATATGACCTTGACCCCCCGAAGAACGAGAGAGTCAAGGTCAATTTTTAATACAAAAATGTTCTTTCATCTTTACGGCCCATATCTTACAAACAATATCATGAAATATACAAAAAGTGTCTAGAATGTGTCCAGAATGTGTAATAACAAACATGTATATAGCCAAAAACTTTAAAATGATGTAAGTTGCTTAGCAACCACTTAAAGGTCATTAAAAAAGATATTTGAAATAAAATGATGCATGGATATTGCAGGTTTGATCCCTTCTTGAGAGTATATTCAGAATTTTCCATTTCAGCATCCATTGTGTAAAATTATGGCAAGAATATTGAAAAGTGTTGAAAGAAATTGATGAATTTTTTGCACTTATTTGACCTTTGACCTCCTAAAAGTAGTTCTAATGAGGTCAAACTTTAAGACAATTTATCTGCTGTTCATCCCTTGTAATTTTATGACCTTACATCTAACTTTTATATGTGCTGGGATGCATAAATGTGTCTAGGATTAGTAATAAACGAAAATTCTTGCCCGAAAATTAAAGAATTCTGCGTTGCTTAGCAACCCCTTTTAAGTAGTTATATGCAGATTTGAAAAAAAAGTTTATATGTTTCATGTAGTACAGTATCATGCTCTTTTGTGGGTATATCCCAAATTTCCTATTTCAACATACATCATAGTAAATATTTAGCTTGAAGATTAAAAAGTATCAAAAAATCCCATAAAATTTTGCACTTAATTGACCTTTGACCTCAATTTTTACTAATAAGGTCAGTTGTTGAGTATCTGAATAGTCATAAAATATCATCTCTAAGACATTCCCTACAAAATGGTATGCAATATACCTACATTTCCCTTTGAATAAAAAAATTGGAAATAATTTAATAATGCCATGTCAAAAGTCTCCAAAATCACCTAAAATGTGCCGGTAGAGAAAGGGTTAAAGCATAGGAATTTTTTTTAAAAATTGAAATTGAATAACCTTGACCTTTGACCTTGAGGAAATCTTCAAGGTCAAAGGTCAAGGGTCACAATGCAATTGAACCAATGCTTCTACAACCTATAGTTTTCAAGTTATAAGGTTTAGTAGTAAGTACAAAGAAGTTAAAGGGCAATAACTCATATAAGGGGTCATAAGATCCTTTGCACTTATTCAGTGAAGTTAGGTCTAAAGACCCTTAAGACATTAGTGAAGGTTTGGTGTCTCTACGTTCTACGGTTTTGAAGTAGTAGCGATAACAATGTTTTTCGCATAAGGAGCAATAACTTTTGATAGGGTCAATCTTTGGGGACAAGAATAAAATATTTGAAATAGTTTTAAGAGTACATATTAATGATGCAAAGACTGATTGCATATGTTAAAAGAGAAAAGATATATAAAAAGAGCTTAATTTCTCATTTTTGGAATGACCTTGACCTTTGACCTTGACAAAATATTCAAGGTCAAAGGTCAAGGGTCACAATGCAATTGACCCCATGCTTCTATCATTTATACTTTTCAAGATACAAGGTTTAATAGTAAGTACAAAGAAGTTAAAGGGCAATAACTCATATAAGGGGTCATCGGATTCTTTTGCACTTATACAGTGAAGTTAGGCCTAAAGACCCTTAAGACGTTAGTGAAGGTTTGGTGTCTCTACGTTCTACGGTTTCGGAGGAGTAGCGATAACAAGGTTTGTTGCACAAGGGGCAATAACTTTTTAAAGGGTTAATCTACTAGTTTGGGGACAAGAATCAAATATTTGAAAGAGTTTTACAATTACATATTAATGATGCATAGACATTAAGTATATGTTGAAAGACAAAAAGAGATATTGAAAAAGCTTTATTTCTCATTTTCTGAATGACCTTGACCTTTGACCTTTGCATGAAATTTTAGATCAAAGGTCAATGAATCTGATGCAGTTGGTCCCATGTCTCTACAACTTCTCGTTTAAAAAAAAATTAATTTTTTGTAAAATTCAAAAAGTTTCAGGGGCAATTACTCATTGAAGGGGTCACCGAATGCTTTCACAATGAAAAGATTGAAGAGTCCCCTTAATTAGTTGAAGACATTGGTGAAGGTTTCATATGTCTATGGCTTACGGTTTCGGAGGAGTAGCGATAACAAGCATTTCTTGCGTAAAGGGCAATAACTTTGAAAGGGGTCAAAGTTCAAATACGTTCGGTCAGTTTTCCGAATAACTTTTAATATCCAATATCATGAACTACAAAGTTTTTCGATAAGCCTTGCAGTTTCAAAAGTTCGGGAAGAAATAGAATAATAATAATAATAATAATAATAATAATAATAATAAACATAAGCATTTCAAGAGGTCTTTCCACAGAAAGGTGGAAAGACCTAATAAACATAAGCATTTCAAGAGGTCTTTCCACAGAAAGGTGGAAAGCCCTAATAATAAGAAACAGTAGAATCACTATGAGGTCTTCCGTGAAGACGGAAGACCTTAATAAGAAACAATAGAATCACTATAAGGTCTTCCGTGAAGACGGAAGACCTTAATAATAATAATAACTAGAAACGATCTCGTTGCGAGCAACGAGAGGTCTTCCGTCCGATCCAAAAATAACCCTAAAATCGAGCTGAAAATATCTATTAAACATTTTGTTGGACACATTGGTAGTTGAAACTGGTCAATGGCGTGAAAATCCAATACGCTTATCGATTACGTTAATTGAACAACTTCTCTAAATTCACTTGTATGTACATGTAATTCTGCAACAGTTAATTTGTCTAGTAATTATGAAAGGAGGGTCACTATTCATAATTTCGCGCCAAACGCCATGAGTAAATCTTAGCGCCTTTCCCTTGCCCAAGTTGGAATGTTCTATTAAATAGGTGAGATAGCTTCAACCAAACCAAATAACAAAAGAGCGTTCTTATCGCCTAAATTTCGAGGAGTGGAAAGTATATTTAACACATACATGTAACATATCGTATATAGGCAAATAACACTAAAGCAGTGAAACAGCTATGAATGGTTAATTTTTTAAAATTGTTCCTGTTAATCACGAAAGTGGACTATTCCGATTACCTACACTATCATGATAAAGGTTGTGTGTTTCCCGGAAAAAATGCCTCGATCGCCCTACGTGGGTCAAGGACTAAGATTCCATTATGTTCAATAACTTGCATTGAAAAAAAAAATGGTTTATATAAAAAGTCAATCAAATAGTCTTTTAAAAATAGTTGTCTTATAAAATAATTCCTTATTATAACGGTTGTCTTTTCTATTAATTTAATATGACACAAGTTTGCACCAGGGAAAACAATGGTCACGTTTTATACTTACTATATATATTGTTTCTTGAAAAACTATTACTTATAACTACGGTTTAAGCTATGTGTTTCCGTGATGCAAAACAAAAGATAGTAGGTATTGTACTTCATTTGCACATTAATTCTTTTCTATTTCTACTTTGAGAAACAACTAAAACCAATTAAAGAAGACGTGTAATGAGGATTCAGATTATAAATGCAGTTTGACACAGAATTGCAACGAACCTACGTCGTGACAATCCAAGTATTCCTTCACATTTCATTGCTCCTTATGTTACTTTCGTTCAAGCAAACGCTAGGCTGCCTTTGTAAACCCCTATTGGGAAATGCCGGAATTTACAGAGACCGCCGCCATTTTGGTCCCGCTTCAAATTTTTGATGGTTAATATCTCGAGTTTGGATTTATCAATTTAAAAACAAATTATATATTCAGCCTAATCTAAAACGTTTCTATTAGCCATACCAATATAATTCGAAAATATTGAAAAGCAAAAAAGTTAGAAAATTCGACTTTTTAAATTCGCCTGCCGTAACGACAGGAAGTAGAGACGACGTACAAAGGATCGCGTCCTGGAAAGTACATATCACGATCTAGAATCCCTGAAAGTTTCACAGTGATATCTTTTACCGTTCTTGAGATTAACCACGGACAAAATGTCATTTTAAAATCAGAAAATTGTCTGCAACTTGGCACCAGAAAGAAATTTCCAAAAAATCTCCCGGATAAAATAACTTTAGATACTAACACATTGTTCCTGCAAATTTCATGAAAATCCATCCAGTAGTCTTTGAGAAATCGCGTGCACAAAATTAGATGGTCAGGAAAATAATAATAATAATAACTAGATACGATCTCGTTGCGAGCAACGAGAGGTCTTCCGTCCGTTTTAGGAAAAGAAACCCACGTAAAATCGAGCTGAAAAGAGATTCAAAATTTTGGTCACAAGGAGGATTTAACCCATGTCGCCAACGTGAATGCGCTTTTTTTTTTTAACTTTTTTATCCCCAACGCGCTAACCAT